CATTTGTCTCTACCCCTTCAATGCCCCATTCCGTGCCACGCCGCCACCCCTCCTCTTCGCCGGAAGGATGCTTCATGGGGGGGGGGTGGGGAGGTAAGGGGTGTCGTGACTGAACTGCCCGTGAAGATAGGCTAATTGTCGTGAAAGGGCGAGCGCCCCTTTCTCGGCGGATGAATTAGTCATGAAAAGCATTCTGACAACAATAGCGGCGAGTGCTCACTCAAACCGCCCACGTGAGTGAAATGCGCTCGGCTCTGAGACCCTTCACGAGTGGAGATGATCCACTAGGTACGAAACACACACACGACAATTATAACCCTCCCCCCCCTCCCCACCGTGTAGCCTTCAAGACTGTTGGAGGCAAGTGCTGTTAGCGAGCACCTATTAAGGCGCAGCACACAAGAGCGGGTGTGAGCGGCCAACGTGGGCCACTTCCGGCCGCTATTAGCTCCTCACTGCTGATATTTACACCCCGCAACAGGTAGGTGCTCAGTTCAGGCTGAGTTGACATCGCGGGAACCGAACTCGGGTCGCCGGGTTCGTACCGCTATACTACACACTCCCCGCGATATCATAACCACACACAGACACGCGAACAATGAGACACACACACAGAAGCGGAAAGAGGCGTGAAGCCACTTTGGGCCCTGGAGGTCACGTGAACGGTACTTTGCCCTCTCTTCAGATGACCACGCGTGTCTCGTGCCGTAACACACGCGGACTCCTGGAGCAGCAGTGGAGGATGATGATGATGATGATGGTCATTGTTATTATTTTAACTGCTGATGATGATAATGGTTGTGGTGGTGAATATTCATTAATCAGGGATTAATTTATCATTCAATATTTTCCTCGGGGACTCAAACCCAACAACCACTACTCTTGGACCTCGCCTCCACCTCTCGATAGAGGGGGGTGGTGGGTTGGGAAATATTTTCAGGAGCCCAGCCCCGGACAGCTCCCGCTGAAATCATCAGCCCTGTGTAAAATCAGCTGTACGAATAACTTCCCACGGTTCATCGTAAGCACTACATTATAACTAACCGATACTTTTATCCATAATAAAAAGACATCCATGCAAATGCCTCCTCTTGAGACTAATCAGCGATGCTTTCCTGGATTAACAGAAGGCATTATATAACAAAGCTCTATACAGACGGACCATTGCCCGAAACGTTAGCCTACGGTAAACTTTCCCGCAATAAGGCAGTGGTCGTGACACACGCGGTGAGTTATGTTCACGTGCGCCTTTAGATCACCGTGAGCTGCGATGCGAATCGTCAGCTGCTGATGCGTGGCGAGATTATAGCGCTTCGTAATGAATGGCAACGCGAGTCCCGTAATTATTTACGGGCTTACAAGGTGATTCGTGTGGCTGAGCCAGTTTCCCCCCGATGTCAAGCCCTCGACCTGTGAACCAAACGCGCCACTGTGGTCAACAATAATTGCCTTTTGGCACCAACGTCAGGGTAATGACGACCTAAGTGAAAGCACGGGGTGGGGGGGGGGGTGTTAAAACAAAAGTGGAGACCCGCGGGAGAACGGGAGAGAAGCGGTGGGAGAGGCAGCGGGAGAGACTGCGACACCGAGACGGCATCGCAGAGTTCGGAGGTCACTGCTGGCCACGAGCAGCTGATGGGGAAGTCACCGCCTGACGGCAACAACATGACGCTCTGGGTATCTGTGTGAGTCTACGGGTCTCTCGTGAGTCTTTGTGTGAGTCGATGGTTCTCTGTTTTCGTCTATGGTTCTCTGTGTGAGTATATGGGTTCTATGCGTCTCCGTGTGAGTCTCTGGGTCTCCATGTGAGTCCATGGGTCACCTTGGGTTTATGGATCTATGTTCGAGCCTATGGGTCTTCGTGTGAGTCTATGGGTCTCTGTATGAGTATATGGGTCTCTTTGTCAATCTATGCTGCTCTGTATGATTCTATGGTTCCATGTGTGAGTCTGGTGGTCTATATACGAGACTATGGGTCTCCGTGTGAGTTTGTGTCTCTGTGTGAGTCTATGGTTCTCTATGAGTCTATGGTTCTCTGTGTGAGTGTATGGGTTCTATGGGTCTCCGTGTGAGTCTATGGTTCTCTATGAGTCTATGGTTCTCTGTGTCTTTGGGTCTATGAGCAAGACTATGGGCATGCGTGTAAGGCCATTGTTCTCTGTGTGAGTATGTGGGTCTCTCTGTGAGTACATGGTTCTCTGCGTGAGTCTGTTTCTCTGTGTGAGTCTATTGGTCTCTGTATAAGTCTATGGAGCTCTGTACGAGTCAAATGAAGGGGATTAATGGGAGGGGAGAAAATGGGGAGAGCCTTTGTCCAGCTGTGGGAAGTTCCAGGCAGACTACAACAACAACGTGGTTGTTATCGTCATGAGCCACGCTATTTATATCTCTGAACAAGGATGGATGATCGTGCACGTGTTAGCCACAAGGGGGAGCAACACGCCCTCTTCTCCACGAGAGACAATGATTCCCCGTATAGCCTGTAACCAGGCTGTTGGGGCAAGTGCTGTTAGCGAGCACCTATGAAGGTGCCGGAACGGCACATGAGGGTTTGGGTGGCCAGCACCACGCCCGGCCGCCTTTGTCTCCCGAGTGGCGATGTTTACACACCGTGCCAGGTATTCATTTGAGGCTGAGTCGACCTGGGAGAGGCCAGGGTCCAGTTCAGCTATTCGTCACCGGTGTTGGCCGTGAGCGGGATTCGAACTCGGGTGCCGGGTTCGTAGCGCAGCGCGCTAACCGCTGCGCCACCGCTCCCCAGCCATTGATTGCCAACACACTCCAATTCCCATCACTCCGCTTAAGCATCCATTCTATATCAGTCCGTTATCACTCACCCAGCAACTCGTTTCTTCACATCCACCAAGTAACTCCCCACAGCGACGTGGCGGCGTACGTAGAGGTGATTGTTGCAAACGAGATGGGATTATCCAGGTAACACATTTAAACCAAAAATAAATAAACACTCACCACTCACTTCACATAATTCACCACTCACGCCTGTCAGTTACCCATCACTCTCAATCCCTCTTCACTCACTCCTCATCCCACGCACCCTCCCATCACTCTTTGTTATGGTGCCTTATTTTGACAGTACGAGTCTTGGTGACACAGTATGTATTGTATAGCACTTTAGTTACTTTTTGACCCGTCCATACTGAACATCTGTTTAAAAAAATAGCTTTATAGCTCTTCGGATTCCTCCAGTTATAAATAAAGATTCTGTTTCGGAGTTCTAAAAGAATTTAGTTTTTGTAATCCATAAACCCAATCTCCTTGTCCCTCCAGTGTCTCCATCCCTGTCCCACTTTTACCTCCCCTGTCTCCTCCCCAGTCTCTACAGCCCACGTCCTCTCTGTCATCTGGTCTTCCTTGTCTCATCGTCTTATTCCATGTCTCACTCTATCCCTTGTCTAATCGCGTGTCTCCCTGTCTCCACCCGTATCCCATGCCGTTTCCATTGATCTCCGCCTCTCTCTCCTCCTCCTTGCCTCTCCTGCCGTCTTGTCTCCGCCTTTGTCTCACTTGTCTCCGCCCTGTCCCAGCTCCGTCACTGGTCTCTCTAACTCTTTATACTTCCATGTCTCCTCTCCTGTCTTCACGCTGTCTCTGCACTGTCCCAGTCCCTATCTCCATGTCTCCATCTAAATATTAATGTATCCGCTGCCTCCACTTCTGTCTCCCTGTCCCCGACCCTTCCTCCCCGTCTCCGCCCCTGTCTCCACCTCTCTCCCAGCTGTCTCCACCTCTGTCTCCCTGTCTCCGTCCTGTCTCCGCTGTCTCCGCCGTTGCCTCCTTGTCTCCACCCAGTCCCCACCATCTCCGCCCTGTCTGCACCTCTCTCCCCCTCTGTCTCGGTTCTCTGTCTCCACCCAGTCCCCACCGTCTCCCCTCTGTCTCCGCCACTCTCACCTCTGTCTCCGCCTCAGTCCCCGCTGTCTCCGCCCTGTTCCCGCTGTCTCCGCCTCTGCCTCTGTCTCCCTGTCTCCACCCTGTCACCTTCCCCGTTGTCTCCGCCTCTGTCACCACCTCTCTCCTCTCTGTCTCCGCCCTATTTCCGCCTCTCTCCTCTGTCTCCACCCTATCTCCACCTCTCTCCCCTCTGTCTCCGCCTCTCACCCCTCTGTCTCCGCCACTCTCCCCTCTGTCTCCGCCTCTCTCCCCTCTGTCTCCGCCTCTCTCCCCTCTGTCTCCGCCTCTCTCCCCTCTGTCTCCGCCTCTCTCCCCTATGTCTCCGCCTCTCTCCCCTCTGTCTCCGCCCTCTCTCCCTTCTGTCTCCGCCCTCTCTCCCCTCTGTCCTCGCCCTGTCCCCGCCCTCTCTCCCCTCTGTCTCCGCCCCTGTCCCCTCTGTCTCCGCCCTCCCTCCCCTCTGTCTCCGCCCTCTCTCCCCTCTGTCCCCGCCCTGTCCCCGCCTCTGTCTCCGCCTCTCTCCCCTCTGTCTCCGCCTCTCTCCCCTCTGTCTCCGCCTCTCTCCCCTCTGTCTCCGCCTCTCTCCCCTCTGTCTCCGCCCTCTCTCCCTTCTGTCTCCGCCCTCTCTCCCCTCTGTCCCCGCCCTGTCCCCGCCTCTGTCTCCGCCCTGTCCCCGCCCTCTCTCCCCTCTGTCTCCGCCCTCTCTCCCATCTATCTCCGCCTCTCTCCCCTCTGTCTCCGCCTCTCTCCCCTCTGTCTCCGCCCTCTCACCCCTCTGTCTCCGCCCTCTCACCCCTCTGTCTCCGCCCTGTCTCCACCTCTGTCCCCGCCCCTGTCCCCGCCCTGTCCCCGTCACTCTCAGTTTGAATTTCGTTGCCCAATGGGCCGCTTGCGTTTGGCTGTCGCCCGCGACAGACGAACGGTGAGCGGGACGCGGCGGAGACAGCGAGACGGAGCTGAGTGGGGACAGCGGGGGACAGGGCCCCCCTCACACAGGGAGACAGGGGGACAGGGAGACAGGGGGACAGGGCCCCCCTCACACAGGGAGACAGGGGGACAGGGAGACAGGGGGACAGGGCCCCCCTCACACAGGGAGACAGGGGGACAGGGCCCCTCTCACACAGGGAGACAGGGGTCCCCTTAGACTGGAGACAGGGGGACAGGGAGACAGGGCGACAGGGAGACAGGGGGACAGGGCCCCCCTCAGACAATAGACCAGGAGACGCAGGCCCCCTCAGACAAGGGACCAGGAGACGCAGGCCCCCTCAGACAAGGGACCAGGAGACGCAGGCCCCCTCAGACAAGGGACCAGGAGACGCAGGCCCCCTCAGACAAGGGACCAGGAGACGCAGGCCCCCTCAGGCAAGGGACCAGGAGACGCAGGCCCCCGGCATGAGGGACCACAACGTCGGCGCGGCCGCGCGGCTGCAGCTGCGGAGCCTCGGGGTCCGCGTGGAGGCGGCGGCCAGGAGGCCCAAGGGCCGGGCTGGCTCGGGGAAGGTGAGTGCGAGGTAGCGGGGTGGGGGTGCGGGGAGGTGATGAGGTGGTGGGAGAGGTGATAAAGAGGTGATGAGGTGGTGGGAGAGGTGATGAGGTGGTGGAAGGTGAGTGCGAGGTAGCGGGGTGGGGGGTGCGGGGAGGTGATGAGGTGGTGGGAGAGGTGATGAGGTGGTGGGAGAGGTGATAAAGAGGTGATGAGGTGGTGGTAGAGGTGATGAGGTGGTGGTACGTGTGAGGAGGTGGTGGCAGAGGTGATGAGGTGGTGGTAGAGGTGATGAGGTGGTGGGAGAGGTGATGAGGTGGTGGTAAAGGTGATGAGGTGGTGGTAAAGGTGATGAGGTGGTGGGAGAGGTGATGAGGTGGCGGCAGAGGTGATGAGGTGGTGGTAGAGGCGATGAGGTGGTGGCATAGGTGATGAGGTGGTGGTACGTGTGAGGAGGTGGTGGCAGAGGTGATGAGGTGGTGGTACGTGTGAGGAGGTGGTGGCAGAGGTGATGAGGTGGTGGTACGTGTGAGGAGGTGGTGGCAAAGGTGATGAGGTGGTGGCAGAGGTGATGAGGTGGTGGCAGAGGTGATGAGGTGGTGGTAGAGGTGATGAGGTGGTGGGAGAGGTGATGAGGTGGTGGGAGAGGCGATGAGGTGGTGGCAGAGGTGATGAGGTGGTGGTACGTGTGAGGAGGTGGTGGAGAGGTGAGGAAGTGGTAATAGAGGCGATGAACCTGGCGGTGGGACGTAGAGGAGGTGGTGTGAAAGGTGACGATGTGGTGGGAGGTTTGAAGGTGTTGATGCGAGTTGTGAGGAGGTTGTTGGAGAGACATGGCGGTGATTGTAGAGGTGAGGAGTTGGTGAGAAAGAGGAGGATGTGATGAGGTAAGGCGGTGGTGCGAGAGAGCCGGGAGTGTTGGAGGTTTATGGTCGAGATGGTGACGTGATTTGGGAGCGGTGGGGTGAGTACTTACTGTTGTTGAACTATGTTACAAACTTAAGCGAGGTGATCAGATCCGAGGAGGTTACGTGAGAGGCGATGATGGTAGTGGGAGAGAGGAGGGAGGCTATGCTAGGTGATGAGGTGGATGGATAGGATGAGGTGACCTCCTGGGTATAAAACTTATTGATGATAGGTAACGACGAGAACCCTGTGGCACACTCAGTGAAATAAGACTCTGTGTGCGTTCGACCTGTCCACAACGACTCTCTCGTGTAACACTAAAACTCAACACTTTCGTCCCGAAAAAACACTGTGGCCTTGAAGGGAAACGTGTATAATAGGCGACGTTTCGGGCAATGGCCCTTCTTCAGATCACATTGTGTGCACAGATCACGTTGTGTGCACATTGTGTGCTCTGAACGGAAGGGCCATTGTCCGAAATTTCGCGTATTCTATACGTTTCCTTTTAAGGCCACAGTGTTATTGACGAATGTGTTGAGTTTATCGCGTTACAACAGGTTATTATTATGAGCTGTTGTGACAAGTTGAATTCTGTGCTTGTGTACTCCTGCCAATGTGGCAAAAAGCAGCCGTCACCAAATAGATTGTCTGACATTTGTTATCTAAATTCACAGGTCTGGGCAGACCCACACGGCATGCTTATTCTCGACTCGTTACCTGTAACAAATTCTCCACCGTGCTTTAACCTCCTCCAACACGCCTGGTCAGTGTGAACTAACAGGCCAAAATGCCCTCCAAATCAGTGGTTCTTAACCCTTACTGCAGCCTTGCACTCGTTTGGTTCTCAATCGTTAACATTTTTTTTATAATGGTAATTAATACATAGGGATTCATGAAACAAAGTAAATTGTACTTGCATGCCCCGTGCTTAATTTGTGGTTCGATGATTTACCTTGGAAAAAAATCTGGCCACGTCTCGCACCCCCGGATCGGGCATCTCGTACCCCAGGGGGTGCAGTGTGCACCACCTGGTTGAGAACCACTGCTCGACATGAACTCTCGAGCGCTCCTTCTAGGGGAGACGCTTTTGTCAGCAGTGACGTGAGCCAAAAATAGCAGGGCTGCATCTATACATTCTACTTCAGTCTCAACAAGCCCCTAACAACAGTCTAATAGAATGGCAGAAGATATAATTACAACTTCAGCCACCTACCACTGTACTGAGAAATACGGTATGTTAAGGGAGAGTCATTTGCAAGCAATGGTTTGGTAATTTTGGTGTGTGAAACTCTGGGCCAATTGGTCTGCAAGTACTAATGTTTTTTAATATTTTCGTTGCCCTGTTGTAGAAGAAAGAAGATTATTCTCATGGGGGCTCACCATCCAGTACCGAATCGCTGGTCCCAAGGTACGATCAAGACAGCCTTTTTTAGCTTAAGAGCAGTAGTCATAATAATACAGATAACTTCTAGAGAACAAACGGTGCAATAGTAACCACTGGAACAGTCCTCCCATCATGCCGTGCATGTCGCGTATCATCGCTGCGCTACGTGTATAATTAGCAAAGGCTTGTTTTAAACTACCGACTCAAGTCAAATTGAACACGCAGTTTTGTTACATCACGTGATACGCGATGTATGATAGTAGGACGCATCCGTTAGTCACAACGGCGACGCCTCTAATCCAGCACTGTCGCAGCGAGGGTTGGCGGCTTACAAATGCTGTGAAAGTCCCTGCCTGTGGGTGTTAACAAGGTGCCATACCATGGCCCGCCAGGACAAGGCACTACAGCAAGTGGACTAATCTTCATCTCTTTCCATCTGTCGGGGATAAGGTGTTACCTCCACGCGTGAATGTGTTTTCTCTGGGTGCTCCGGTTTCCTCTCATGTATAAACACTCATAAATTGGCTGAAAACATCTTAATATAAAAATACAAATCTAGCAGGACATTTTTTTTTCGAAAAGAGTCCTTGGACTCAGTGTGACATTTCTGAATATATAAATCACTATTATTTTTCAGGTCACCACGTACTTTTATGTCTGATACTTTGTCATAATTTACAGAAAGAGTTATAATTGGATTAATCAATATACCTTGTTCATATTTACTTGTGTACCAGCTATCGTCAGATCAGCAGACTAAAATAAGAGGCCTCAGTGGAACGTCATATGAGCAAATTACTTGGAAAGGGCCCGTTCTTGTCAGACCTCAGAAACTAAGTAGGGTTGAGCCTGAATAGCGCTTGGATGGGTGACATTTGAATCAGGAATCAGTGAGCTACATTATCAGCAGAAGACAGTGCGGCAAAATACGTAATTGTGCTGTACTGTGCTCCGAAGTCTACTCCCTTCACTGACCTACTTGGACCGGCGTGGTGAAGTAGAGGCAATCCCCAAAACCTGCACGGAGCGGCTAGGCCCTCATCCAGCAGTAGATCGACAACGGGGCAGGTACGTGCGCTAATGAGTTCCTAACTCTGATCATAATTTTTTGTTTATGTTAAAAGGTTTGTCCTGGAAGCCTGTCGCTATCTCCAAGACCACTTGGACACAGAGGGCATCTTCCGGAAGCCGGGATCATTGTCCAGGATGCGAGAGCTCAAGGTCCTTCAACCGTGCTCGTGCGCAGGCAAACACGGGGCCTGCAGTCGGGCGTGTTTAGGGCGGGGTGGGGAGGGCAATGTCTGGCGGACGTTTATGGCACGTGCCGATTGCTTCAGTGTGCGTGCGTCGACTTGTACACCCATGCAGACGTGTACGAGTTAAGTTGACTCGAGTAAGCTGCGTGGCACAGAGGGAAATACTATAATGGGGCAAATGGATGAGAGGGAAAAACTTGTGTAAATGTGCTTGCGTGTGTGTGTGTGTGTCTGCGTCTTTTGTAGGGAGTGGTGGAGCCATTGTTTAGGGTACTGTGCTTTGAACCCGTTGACCTGAGTTTTATTCCCAGCCACGACTGACATCAATGGAAATTATGTCAGAACCTGTCCCTGGGCAGCTCCCAAGGTCGACTTGCCCTTTACACGTGAATCTGGTGTGATGTGTTGACCTCAGTGTTGGGGAGAAAAACGGCGAATTAGCTTTGTGTTAGCTGCACCACCCATTTGTTCATTGTTTCAACCTTAATGGTTGTTTACTAACAGTACTTGCTCAAACAGTATAACTGCGTGTCTATTTTTTTGTGTGCTCAGATAAACAGTCGTTCGTGCACTGCTATTTGGTTCCAGACAGCTGCTTTCAAGTACCAGCCATTGATGTTATTTATAAGTGACCAGTTTTACTACCCGGCTTCGCCCGGAACTTGTATTCTTGTCTTGGATTAATACACGGCCTACGCGGAGGGTTTGGGTACGGAGGATGCGTGACGTCAGCAGGCACACTGCGTGACGCTGCCGCATGCGGGTGACATCACAAATGTGACGTCATCGCTCACTTGCCATGCAAAATATATGCATTATTGACCTCCCCCCCCCCCCCCCAATACAAAAGTAATTTTTTAAATACTTTTTGCATTGTGTACATTCTGGAAGCTACCCACATGCCAAATTTCAAGTTTGTTGCATGTCGGGAAATATGCTAAACACTTCGAACGGCACATATTCACAAATTTCCCTTATATATATAGATTTGTGAATCAGTCCTCATCCGTAAATGTGAAATGAGTACCCGGTGCATTGCGTTACCGTCAGCCCTGGAGAAACAAAGGTGGCCATGGTGCTGGCCACAAAACCCTTGACATTGTTATCTTCCGAGCCAAGTTTGCACTCGGACAAGTATTAAGTGATATCACATTTGCGAACTTTACATCAAATCCACTGCAGTGACGGCACATTCGTAAATTTTCCGTGTGCTGGGGGGAGACGGAGATTCCCAATTTGACCCACACCGAAAGAATAAACATTGCACTCGCCCTTGTAGCGGGCGCCCGCTGGCTAAACAGCCCTTGCTTCTACGGTCACGGTCGCTCAACAAGTTGCCCGCGTGTCTCTGCGCGGCTAACCGCAGGCCCGGCTGGAGCGCGGCGAGGCCTGCCTGGCGGGCGCGACGGTGAACGACGTCGCCGGGCTGCTCAAACAGCACCTGCGTGAGGCGGCCGAGCCGCTGGTGCCGCGCGAGCTGCACTCATCGCTGCGCCGAGCGCAGCAACTGGCGACGGCGGAGGAGCGCACGAGGGCAACGCTGCTGCTGTGCCTGCTCATGCCCCCCGCCACCGCCCACACCCTGCGCTTCCTCATGACCTTCCTGCACTCCGTGGCCGAGAGGTGAGGCGGCGACTGTGGCCGTTCACTTTACCGTGAGGGGCCGAACGGTCCGTGGGAAATTTTTTATCGATTTGCCGTGGTCTCCGGATTATGAGATGCTTCAGAAAACAAGACGCCATCAACTTTTGCTTGAAAATGCAGAGGGGGGGGGGAATGTGTGTTAAATTCCAGAGACTACGCTAATTGTCCTTCAAAGCCCAAACAGGGAACGCTCGGGGATTTGGTCTAGGACAGTGATGGGGACCTTGGCCTTGCCGGAGACCGAATAGGACTTTCAAATAACCTTTGGCAGGGAGGCCACACATCACTGCAAGAGGTCCTTCCCTTTCGTTAATAAAAAAAAAATCCGTCTTGCGCTCAGAGCGGAGGACAACAAGATGACGGCGACGAACCTGGCGGTGGTGTTCACCCCGACCCTGATGCACGGTGGGCGCGGGGCCAGCCTCACGCCCGGCACACAACAGCTGCTCCAGCTGCAGGTGCTCACCGTGGAGACGCTCATCGCCAATGCTCCTCGCATCGGTACGAAGCCCCCCAAGATCCACGGCAGCGACTGGTGGCACGGGAGGAAGGGGGGGGGGGGCACTGCAACATTCCCGCCACTTGCGTGACTCATTTTGGCTCTTCCTCGGTGGCCCGCAACTCCAAGTGATGGTTTTATTAACGATTTCCAGCTCGGGTTGAAAGCGCTTATGCATTAAGCTCTGGCCTGTCCACCCATCGGATAATTGGGACTGGCAGGATGACTCTCGTAAAGATGATCCAATGTGAACGGAACTTTCGTGTAAAGTCGTATAGCTATGAGGGATTTAGCCTATTAAAAATAATAATTAGCCAAAAATGTTGAGACCACAAACGAGAGGGAAAAAAAATCTCGCCGAACGTGGTTTTATCTAACGCATGTTTCAGCTTGCACGGTGTTACTTAACAGGGTCTGTTTTTCGGAATGAGGGTGGTGAGGTTTCAACTATACGCATTTTTACGTTGCTAAGATTGTTACGAAGATATTTGTTAGATTGGCGTGCGAGAGGTGAGAGTGCTGCATCAGTCGGAAGGTACTGAGGTGTGACTGAATTGACTGTGAGAACGATTTATTTACTGTGTAAGTTTCTTTGCATTTGTAATTTTTCGTGCGATAATGTAACAAATACTCTACACGCTCACGCGCAACGCAAACGTTCGCACACACTGCCGCAAGCATCTCGCCGTACACTCATTGACGTTGGTTGTACGGACTCCTACGTGTGCGAATCCTTAACGTTTCAGTGACAGTGTTAGGGGCAGGCGTCGAGTTGGAAATACAGTTCTGGGTGGCGAGTGTTGGGCATATGCCGCATTGTGGGAAGAGTAATTCAGACAGGGGTTTTGTGTTCAGGTCACGTTGAAAGAGTGTGCACACACAAGGTGTGGAGAGCGACTCGACATTCTTAATTACTACAAGAGCGGGAATCTTGTCGAATTAACTAAACAAATAGGGAGGGGGTGATCATTTCGGAGCCAGGAACGCAACGCTATTTTTCCCACGTGGCCTATTATTTGTCGAACGCAGTTTCGCCCAGCAAGGCATTTTAGAGGTACGTTAACCCCTGCGTCCGGCGACGTTTTTCCTGTATTTGCCAATATTGCAAACGCTTGTTGTCTTATATTTTTAGTTCTTTCGGTAAAGTCACGTTGAAGGGAAACAACAAAATAATAAAATATATAAAACAATAAAAATTCTCACGACGTTTCGACCATAACACAAACGGTCGTCTTCAGGTGTGTTGGTTTGCATAAATTTATTTTTAAACGGTGCATTTATTTATTTATAAAAAACGTTAGCGCCACGCGCAGCGATTTGGCAGTTTATTTAGGACTAGTCCATCTATATTTTGAAAAGAGGACGGGGGAGACGAGTTTTTTTTTTTGTTGTCTTGCTTGTTGTCTTGTTCGCAACCCGTTTGGAAATATGATTATTATAATTATTATAATTTCCCTGACAGTTACCCATCAGTTTGTGTTCTGCTAATTAATACTTTAGAGGATGACACACATGGGGAAAGCGTGTTACATTGATGCAAGCGTTTGCACGATTTTTATTAATTTGCTGTGGATTTTCGCTGCGTTCCGTTTTTGGTGTGACCTACAGGAAAGTGCGAATGGCTCTGGACACCACGACTTCAAATTGTGAAAGTAATCTGATAATCTAGTATTAAGAACACAGTGTGACACCATTTCTGGCGATTGACCCCTCCAGGCCAGTGGCCGGATGAGGAGGAGGTGGAGGAAGATAACGATGATGCTGCAGGGGCAGACTTTGGCAGGAAGGGCAGCGAGGACCAGTCGCCATCCACTGGCGGGCGTGGAGACCAGCGCTCGCTCAAGTTGAACCGTCGCCGCAGCTTCAACGGTAACAGCACCTCCCCTGCTTGTGTCGTGTGTCTGAGACATCACGTACCATCGTGACCCACAAAGACAAAGATCCCCTGTATAGCCTTAACAGACTGTAGGAGCAAGTGCTGTTAGCGAACGCCTATGAAGGCCGGAACGGCACACGGGGGCGTGCGTGGCCAGCACCACGCTGACCACCCCCTAGTGGCGATGTTTACACACCATACCAGTTACTCATTTGAGGCTGAGTCGACCTAGGAGATGCCTATGACCGGTTCAGATAATCGTCACTGGTGTTGTCCGTGAGCGGGAATCGAACTCGGGTCGCTGGGTTCGAAACGCAGCGTGTTAACCACTGCACTACCGCTCCCCACACACACCGTGAACACCACATGCACAAACGCAGACACAAGTGTATTCTCATCACACTCGTCTCTTGGAACCTCAAAGCCGGAAATGTAAAACCAGAGCTGTCACCTCTACGTTGCTAAATGTTATTTTTGTATACATATTTGTTTTGTCCTCTGTCTCCAATCTTATCCTGATTGTGCTTTTGGAATCATGCCATGATGAATTATCCATTTGGGTCTCGGAGAAGTGTAACCCTTCTTGGTAAGCATATGGCCCACGAAAGCAGATACCAAAGAGCTACCTCTGAGATCCTTTGAAGTGACTTCTGGTTTACATATTAGGTGCGACACTTTTCAGAATAAGAATATTTATTTATACTGGACATACTGATAAGCATAACTGTCTTGATATTTGAAAGTCAAACTGATGTGTTTTATTCCCCAGGGCTGGAATTTTGCCAAATCAACTGCAAAAATAAATTTAACGTGATGTTTTTTTGTTTGTGTACAGTCCATTGGTAACTGGCCAGAGACCATCGCCTCGCCACTTGAAAAGCCCGGGCTTAATCACAGGCGGCTGCCTGTGATTTGACCTCGGGATCCCAGCGGTGGCAGCTCATCGCTGTGACCTCTTGAGCCATGCGGCCACCTCTCAGATTGCGAACGTTGAAATCGGTGTTGTGTGCCACTTTGCCGTGTCTCGGATTTCTCATTAGACGTCGTCTACGGTGCTTTGAATCGTCTGAAAATCAGCAAGACGCCTGTAGGCACACCTAAGGGAGAAGGTACGGATTCAGAGGTCGCTGTTTTCCCAGGCACACAAGTGAAACACGCGTGTCGCATTTTTGTCACAAATATTAGTTAGTAGTTTGGCAAAGACATTTTTCAATAGTGTCCATTCACCCGGCAAGCACTGGGTTAACTCCACAGAACGCCGATGTAGGTTTGAGTTGTCACTTGGACTATGGGGCTGTGATTGACGTGTGATTGCTTGAAGAGAGGATGCCAAAAGACATCTGTAGAAATGTCACTTGCAGTCATCATAACCCTAGCTACAACAACCTCTCTCTTGAACCAGAGAAGAAAAAAAAAGCCAGCCGAGCTTTCCCTTCAAACAAGACTAAGCCGCAAGTGGATGCCTGTCTACGATGGAAAACGTTCAAGTCCCGGAGCCGGAAGCCTCACGGCAACGATAAACACACTCAGAAAATAGGCAGAGGCCACTTTGTGCCACGGGATATGTACACCGTGGCCGTATCGGTGATGGGATACGATCGCACATCCACTATCGTCCCATCCCCCCCCCCACCGTGCGTCGCTGCAGATTGCGTGGGTCCGCAGACGCCTCTCACGGGGAGACAAAAGAGGAAATCCTCCGATGTCAGCCCGAATCACGACTCCTCCGGCAAGAAGCGGTGAGGGCACGCGGCGCGAGCGATGTCAGTGGCACCTCATCTCATCGGCGGGGCTCTGCAAAATTCCACAATAGCGTCGAGCAACTGCGTGGGGCCGAAGGGGTGGGGCGAGAAGGAGGGTGGGATGCGCCGTTCACGTTGTCACGGCCAATCTGTCAGTGATGTTGCTGCTCAAGCGACGTGTCCTTACTGCGCAATCCGTAGGTGTCTACAGCTAAAACGATTATTTTTTATTATCACCGTACTGTGGGCAAAATCAATGGGCCTTGAACATCGCTGTGCCAATTTTCACGCTTCAATCTCAAAACGCTAAAGGTTTTTTGAAACAAATCCGTCTGTCTGCGCTTTAACCTGATGGATTGCTGTAAGGCGGCCCCTCCGTGCCGGTTACGACAGGAGTGTGGGGACCATTTACAAGAGACTTATTTATTATATTGTATAGCCCTGGGTTCTCTCGACTGTTTGCGCGCTGACAGATTTAGCGGATTTTTTTTTTCTCCCCCATACTGTAAAGTACTGTAAATACCTGGCCCGCCAGCTCCGTGCCGATCACTTTAACGCTCGAGGTAAATTTTCCGCTCTTGCGCGAGTGAGTCACGTTCCGACGTGCGAGCGCGATAACGATAACGTGTCGCCTGCGGCTGCTTCCCCCCCAGACGAGGAGACGAGGTGTGGGACTCGACGCCGCGTGGCTCAGGTCATCTCGACACGTCGCAGCCAAGCGCCGGAGACTCCAGCCGTTACGGTGTGGCCAAACTGCCGACATCCGCGAATGCCAACGCTCACCCCATGTCGGCCGTCGCCGTCCCCCCCGTTGACCTCTCGTGCGGTGTCCACCTGCGTCCCTTGGTTGCAGCGACGCGAGGCTCGGACGCTCCATCGCTCGAGGCGGATGGAGCCGCGGTCCCGCCCGGCGAGGCCACCACCACCACCACCACCCCGTGCGCGCAGGGAGGCGAGGGGGCGGCACTCATGACGAGGAAGCGGTCGCGGATGCTTCTCGGCCTGTCGGCACCACACCCGAGCAGGACGTCAGCCAGGCTAAGGCTGCGGATGACCAAGCCAAGAGCGGGATCCGGACCTGGAGACAGAGACGGAGCCAGAGCCATCCACTTGTCGTCATCATCGGGGCCGTCTGATGGCTCGCGCAAGTCTCTGCGCGTCATGCTGAGCCACTTGAAGGCTTTTGGCTCCGAGGAGGTGAGGTTTCCTCTTCCTTGTGGAGGCTTGCAGTAGTGATGATGATGGTGAGTTAGAGAAGATACATGAGTGGGGGGAGGTGAGTGAGGAGATAGAGGTGATGTAAAGATGATGGTTGCTAATGAACGAATGAGTGCCGGGGGGATGAGTGTGATGTGAGTGAGCAGATAGTCACGAATGGAGGACAAAAAATACTCGAGCCTAGACCTAGTGAGAAGGAGCCAGTGGTGTGGATGACCAGAGGGGGAGCTCACAAGAGACGCAAGTCTTGAGCGTAGACTTCAATAAATGGAAGTAGTTGGCTGTGCGAAGTTAACTCGGAGTAGAGGAAGTGTTCTCCCGCCGGACGGAGACTGACCGGTCGGTGTCACCATTGGGTGGCGTGTCGGCGAAAGCAGCGCGCCACTTGTTACCCGCTGAAGAGCAGCGCGGAAGTGGGGAGGCGCCTGGCCAACCAGCCTCGCCTCGACGGCGGGATGGACACCCTCAGGATCTTCCCGCAAACGCCGCGCAGGAAACCGGCGCCCGCTTTCAAACCTCCCGTCGAGGCTGGCCCCGCAGGTACGTGACGCAGGTACGCGATGTGGGTTCATGACGTTCCAAGATTGTCGAGGTCAGCTATTTTATTATTTTGGTGTGGACCAATCAATTTCAAGGACAGTGCATATCATTATCAGAGTTTTCTATTTTTGTTTACATTTTGACTGCTTGTGTTGTGGCTATTGCAAACATGGTCACCTTGTATAAAGGTGTCAGTTTTTGTGCCAGATAAAAGGGTAAAAACCTATTCCTATATCTGGGTACTGGCAAAGGAGGTCTCATAGTGCGATAATCGACATTTTGACAATTTGCCAACATCGACAGCACTTAAAAATCCGTGATTACTGCCCGTCGCGTCACAGCCATCGCAAATTATTTTTAGAAGCGAAGCGTTCTGTCGTCGCCTGTTCCACCACGTGTGTTTTCGCCGACGCCCTGCCTGGTTTCGCCATGCCGCTGCAGTGCTCCGCTCGCGTCGCTAGGCGGGGATTTGCTGCAGCAGGGGGGGGGGGGGGGTGATGCTGGGCGTGCGGCGCTGCCTCCTTGTGCCGGCTCCGTTGCGAGCTGCGCCAGAGCTTCGGGCTCCCCCGGAGGAGCGCCGGGAAAAATGCAGCGCACTTATTAATGCCATTCAGTTCAAAATGGTGGCAGCAGTGATGCGTGATTAAGCTTACAATGCACCCACGAAAAATAACAATCGCATTTCTCGCAGGTAGCCTCCGAGATTAGAAATGTTGCCGTGTCAGCGCCGTGCTCGTTAATTTTAAACGTTTCGTCAAATTGGAAGTGATACACGCAAAAATAATGCTAATTGTGTTCCATTTGCGTCCTTAAATTCGCGGCGAATTGTGAAAGGAAGGTAAGAGTAGAATTACAATTTAATTCCCCATCGCGCTCTCACATCCTCAACCCGTCTCTCCGTTGCAAGCAGCCCTCGCAGCGGCACAGTATCAGGAGACAAAAAAAAAACGTAATCTTGCAGCACGGCGTGCTTTTTTGTAGGTTGTAGTTTGTGTTGACGCAGTGCGCCGGCCTTATTCGGAGGTTATCAGTGTCGGTCAGGTCGTTTCTAATATTGTGCCGTTTGCCGGAACAGCATGCCTAGCTTTGCGTTTTGGCAAACGTATGAGCGACTGTTTGCTGGAACAACATCTTATGCAGTTTTTGTTGTGGTCATAAGCCAGCCGTCTGCCAGTGAAGCTTTTCCCATTATCTCCACAATAATTGGTTTTGGGTGCTGCCTTCCGGCAAGCATCGTTGCTGGCAGCTTCAAGATAAGGCTGCCCCCCTGTCCAACTCGCCGGAAACACTTGTGCAAAACGCACCGCAAAAAATATTTCCACGCTGGTTATTTTAATTCATTTCGCACACAACCGGGCCCCTCCATTGAATCTGTAAAATATTATTAAAATGTAACTTTGTGTTTTTTGACCAAAGTATTATTCTTTGGTTCTTTCGGTAAAGTCACATAGATTGAAAAATAAGAATACAAAATAAAATGAATAAAAATATTAAAATAAAAATGTTTTTATTATTTTTATTTTTTATTCACTTTATTTTTTATTTTATTTTTCTTCCTGCAGTCACGAAAGTTTTACGTCAAAATTTAACCAAGTATTGTCGTGCGCCATGGCCGTGTGCTCGCCTTCGGTGGGGTTCCGTTAAAATTTCGTGTTTCTCTTTTGAAAGAAGTGAATCTACCCAGCAATAGATTACAGCCAACTGTTTACTCCAACAAGACATTCATTACCGCCCGCAGGCCAGTGGGAGGCTAAATGCCAAACCATAAGAATTTTTCCAAAAGGTCCATGTGGTCCGAAAGGTTCAAAAGTACAGAGGAAAAAATAAATATCTTTTTCACGGTAACTCCTTCATTCGCCAACGTGAAGCTCGCGTGAACATTGCTATGGCACGTCGCGATTTTTGCATTCGGGTAGACGGGAAGGGTGGTGATGGGGGGGCGTTAGCCGAGCACCGTGACATTTCCGAGCTTTTTTGTGCAGCGTTTGGGGAGTGCATGGGCCACATGACTACGCCATGAACGCCTCTCTTTTTCCCGCGTTCATACGCAAAGCGCAGCAGGCTCGGAGCGGTCAAAGAGGTCATTGTCTCCTGCAACGGTCCTGCGATCTGATATTTTTTTTCGTAATCCTCGAGGCACGTAACTTTTTACAGAAGTCTTGTTCTTCCGATTTTGGAAGTTGTTCATGTCCACTGCACCATTGTTTAACCACGGGTACAGGTAATTATCTCAACTTTCTCACCCACGTCCAATTTATATTCTTTCTTTCTTTCATCGCCCTGGATATTGAACATTGCCGCGAGGGATACAGTCTTTGTTTATTCAGCTCCGTTCGAATAAATGTCTCGAAACAAGAATTTCAACTCTTTCTCATGTTTTATTCTTTTTTTATATAGAACAGATAGTTTTGAACTTCCTCGAACTTGTGGCACCAGAATTTAAATGCCTTTCCTTGTCAAATTAATCTTAACGTTGTGAGCAGCACATTTTCTATTTGTAAGGTATGCTCATTGTTTAAAGATCAGTCTGGTTTAGCGGCTATGTTTTTTTTCAAGCACTAATGTGATCAATGTTACGGCCGTACTACGAAGCTTTGGCGTTATTTCCAATGCGTAATGACTGCGTTTATAATACTGAAACTGCTAACTAACTTTAATAATGACAGTATTATCATTTATTTCGCAAAACACTACGTAGCTAAATCACCCAGAATGCTCCCAATGCTGTCAGATCTCAGCAGCTAAGCGAGGATGAACCGAAATAGTGCTTGGACGGGCAACCACAGAATACAAAGAGGTTTTTATCGGCTAGTGCGGGGCTAACACGGTGGGCGTCAGAGGGCCGTGCAACAAAACCCAATGTTGTATTGTACTTCTGTGATCCCACGTCTATGCTCCCCGCGTTCAACCCACACTGACCAGCGTGGAGCAAGTACATTTAAAAACAACGCCCACCACCCGCTCAACGTGGGGATGCCCTCACATTTGTGCACAAAAACTGCATCTTCTGTGGGATTTAGCCTCCCAACCCCAGACGAGCTGTACCGGGAATAGAATGCCTTTTTACAAGGCCTGGCCCGGAATCCACAGCAGTGACGGTTTGCATTGTTGTTGTCGTCCTTGTTGTTGTTGTTGTTGTTGCTGCGCACCAGGACTGATGGCGCGGAGCGGAGGGGGTCAAGGCTCTGCAACGTCAGCGTGCGCGCCAGGCAGCGGCGGTCACCGTCCGCTCTCCGTCCGCGCCGCGACCGCGGGCAGCGCAACCGCGCCCGGGATAAGCGACCGGCAGAGCCACCGTGGGCCCCTCCCCGTGGCTGCCGCCGCCTCCCCTGCGATCTCCGCCAACTTGACCCCCGACCCGTGTTCAGACGCGCCTGCGTCGCTGTGGAACGCGCGGCCGAGCGGCAACTCATTGTGCTGCGGTGACCGCGTCGCCCCGACCGCTGTCAGGATCAAAGGAGCGTTTTTTGAATCGGGGAACGAGCTGCACGCGCTGGCCTTCAAACGCAAAGGAGGCGATCCGTCGAGGGCAGGCGGTGACTTTCGAAACTCCGAGTCTAAAATGTCAAGCGAAGCTGAAACCGCATTTGAAAAGAACCCCATCGGCGGGCGCCTTCATCGGCCCGTGCCGGGAGACGACCGCCTCGGCCCCACGGCTTCGAATCCCTGCGCAACTTTTTACGGCGGCCTTAACAGAGTCTGCGATGCAAATCAATCGGTCGGCCAAGATAATTATCAGCAGCGCGATAGCGATTCAAGTTCGCTTTCCCTTGCCGTGCCGGTGTCCGAGGTGTCGGAGAAGCGTCTTCCTGCTCCCAGCTGCTCAAATGCCGATGGTTCAGCAATTACACAGTTTTGCGGCTGTGGGTCTTGCGACTTAAAAGGGCAAAAAAATCCAATTTCAACTCCTAGCGAGATTCTCAAACTTGATACGTTTCCAGGCTACAAACACACCCAAGGCTCGCAGTGTGCAGGCGTTCGGCTTATCCCCGCTGCTCTCACAGAAGCGAGTAAGCAGGGACTCGCGAGTGAAGTGCGAAAGCCAGCAAAAGGAATTTCACGTGAAACTCTGCTCTCGGAACCCGACTGGTGTTGGGATGCAGATGCCATCAAAGCGTCCTCCAGGGCGTCGAGTTGTCTTCCCGCGGGCAGAACGGTGGACACCCTGTTCCGCTCATCCTCGGCTGAGATGGTCGGATTCGGCCTTCAGAACCCTGCCCTGAGGCTCGTCAAAGCCTCATCCGCGGAAGCCTGCCCTTCCGGCTTTGACGATGAGACGGCGCGCAGGCGGCCGCCACGGATGACAGTCACCTCGTTTGTGGGCGCCCCCATGAAACTGAGCGTGAGGTGCGAGGAACCTTCGCCACCATCAAACCAACCAAACCCTCGTGGCGTTGACGTTCAGACCGTGACGGGGACTATGGGAAACAGCGACGTGGAGCGCGAAGCAGGCGATGAAAAAGAAGAGGTGTACGTGGCCACGTCCGGGCAGGCTCTTCGCAGTTCTCCCGGCGACCACGGTAATGGGCGACGCAACCCGGAAAGCCGCGATGGAAGAAGCACGGTGCAGGACGTGCCTCTCCACAGGAGCGTATCCACCCCGTCCAGGCCGGTGACTGCCCAGCACGGCCCTCATCTCAGGTCCGGGGCCGGAACGACGCGGGCTTTACCCAAGGGCGACAGCGGCGGAATCCTCAAGAGCGTATCGTTCAATGCCAAGGGGTCACGGGCGTGTGGCCAGGCCCGAGCATCCACTTCCGGCCGGGCGGTGGAGACGAAGGCTGCCCCTGGAGGGGGGCGGCTGGTGCGGACCGGCAGGCCACTGCAGGTTCCACCCAAATGCCCCGTGGCCCCGATGCCCTTCGTGCCAAGCAAGGCAGCCTGGGATGTGTGAGCGAGACGTCTTTCTGCCTGGCTTCAGAGTTAATGTTGCAACGTTCCGGTTTGCTCTATTTCCCACTCCCGTATTTCCCTGCCCTGCCTGCCGCACCGTGACCCCGTCTGACCTGGTGTAGTTTGTTTTTATTGTAAACTGTCTTAAGATGCAATTGAATAGACACCGTATATATTCAGATTGTTGTTCTTCCATCTACCAATTTCACCAGCTTTGTTTTAATGGTGGCTTTTAAAAAGAGTTTAGTTGGGTTGTTAGAATGCATTGCCCGTCATTAGGCGTCTGATTTGTGTATTTGTCAGTCATTTAATAACTTTTATTTCACGGCACAAAGAGCCTTGAAAATGTGGTCCGAGCACGGCGCAGCACTTGTGGTACCACGCGGTGAAGTCTGCACAGCAAAACACTACTGAGGTCACACGGTGAAGTCTGCACATTGCGGCACTACTGGTACCACGTGGTGAGGTCTGCACATCGCGGCGCTACTGGTACCACGTGGTAAAGTCTGCACATCGCGGCACTACTGGTACCACGTGGTGAGGTCTGCACAGCAAAACACTACTGAGGTCACATGGTGAAGTCTGCACATCGCGGCACTACTGGTACCACGTGGTGAGGTCTGCACATCGCGGCGCTACTGGTACCACGTGGTGAGGTCTGCACATCGCGGTGCTACTGGTACCACGTGGTGAGGTCTGCACAGCAAAGCACTACTGAGGTCACATGGTGAAGTCTGCACATTGCGGCACTACTGGTACCACGTGGTAAAGTCTGCACATCGCGGCGCTACTGGTACCACGTGGTAAAGTCTGCACATTGCGGCACTACTGGTACCACGTGGTGAGGTCTGCACATCGCGGCGCTACTGGTACCACGTGGTGAGGTCTGCACATCGCGGTGCTACTGGTACCACGTGGTGAAGTCTGCACAGCAAAGCACTACTGAGGTCACACGGTGAAGTCTGCACATCACAGCACTATTGGAGCCACACGGTGAATTCTGCACATTGCGGCACTACTGGGACCATGGTCAAGCCTGCACATCGCAGCATTACTGAGGCCACTCGGTGAATCCTGAACATCGTGGCACTACTAGGACCACACGCGGTGTGTGCTGTCTGGTGTCATGTCCAATTATAAAGTAGGCCACGTTGAGTGGATCGTCACTTTGTGGAGAGACTCGCAGTGCTCACGTGTGCCGGTCTACGGTTACACACGGGAATCCGGGCTGCACCGCACGGCGTGGTGTGTGCGTGTGCGTTTGTGGCCCTGTCATTTCAGTGAGTGAGTGAGTGTGGTCCTGTCATTTGATTGTCTTTGTTGTGGTCCCATAATTTTCGTGAGTAAGTATGTGATTGTCTTTGTGTTCCTCTCATTTCAATGAGTTGTTGTGTGAGTACATGGACACTGCTGGGGTAAATATCAGAGGAGTCGTCCTCCCTTCGTTGTGGGTTACCGCGGATCTCTGCGGCACTAATAGGCAGGTGTGCTAAAGCCGGTTGAATTATTTGCTCCCTAACGCCAGACCAAAGTGATTCGGTATCATTACAGTTCTCGGAAGCCTCCTGTTGCCACGACAGGAGAAGATAACGCTCGCACACGGCTTCCGTCTCAGTGGGCAGCTTTTCAACGTGTGGGGGCTCTTTTTATCATCGTGGTAGAATTCTCCAAACTCCTTCTTTCATGAGCACAGGAAGCAGCCCCGCCAGACCCTCGGCTCCGCTTACAGAGAAAGTGAATAAATATTGCGCTTTTAACACGAGCAGTAAAACATATAAATTTAACATTACATTTAATGGGGATTTTTTATTTTTTTTGGACTCCTGCAGATTAAAATATTTCAGAGTCGTTCTCCGGGAATTGAAAATGTGCCGCGTGTGGAAGGTTACAAAAGTGATTTGATGTGAAGATTGATATTCCGTCCCGTCCCGTTCCTGCCCGATAGAACGAGCGGACCTAGCGCTTGCTGCCGCCACCACCCGCCCCACGTCCCGGTTAGAGGTGGCGACGATGTTTGGGTTCGTCGGCGATGTAATCCCGACCTGGTTGTACTCTCAAGCTTGTGCTTCGGTGGCGGGGAAATTGCAAGTGGCGAGGCGAGGGGGCTGTGTACTTGTGAGAGGAAACTCACGAGTGCACAGTCTGCGAATGCGGTCACCGAGAACGACCTGAGTATGTTTATCGTGATCAAAAATACCGCTGTCAGATTTCTCACCCGCTGCCCAATACGCCAATCCATTTCCCAATCCAATCCCGTATCGATTGCACGGTCACGCTCGCCATCTTCGTCCTCCTCCTCCTCGGAGAGACTGACGCCGGTCCACGGGAGGATCTTAGAAGTGCGGTGAGCGCAATCTTGTAATTTATCCAGGACCGGATTGGGATCTGGTGAAGGGATATTGGGTTGAATGTGGTAATGTTTATTGTGCAGAAACATTGTAGCTCATCTGGAGTGCTTGGGGAGGTGGGTGTTTGTGAGGAGGCCCAAGAGGGAGAGGGTTGCAGGAGTCGGGTTGAGATTGAACGAAGGCTCGGATGAGGAGTTCAGCGGCAGACGGGGCGCTGTAGATGGCGCATGTGGGAGATGTTGCGTACGTGTAGGTTGGAGGTCTTGCAAAGCTGAGAACGAGAGCTCAGGATTGATGACAACCCCAAAGTTACGATGCGTGCACTGCCGGTGTGATGTCAGATCGCAGGAGGTGCGCAGTCAAACTGGAATCTTTGCCGAGTGTGGACTTTCTGCCAGTGATTCAGCATGGGAGGCATTTTTTTTAGTTTTCACTATATCAAGCGTAACTAATTTCTGGGAGTTTTGAATGGAAAATAAATCGGCTTAATAAATTTTAATTATATATTTGCTCCTCTTCGCTAGATAAACGCTTTGTGTGCATCTCGCATCTTCATTTTTAACAACTTAAATTGCACTAAACTACAAGAACAAAACAAATTAAACAGAAAATTAATGACTCGAGACGCGGGCGTTAAGTCAGCGATTTGAATGCGCACGTGCCGGGCAGCTCTGGTGGTAATTGGCAAGATTAAGCCGCGCCACTGTGATCAATTGGGATGCTCGTTTTGGGAGACACACGCTGCGCGGCAGAGGTTTGACGAGAGAAGCCCCCGCTCTTGTCGTTTCGTGTTCGCTGCCTCTTCGAGCGCTCGCTCGCCGCAGTGATGGTGGTCAGATTCCTGACTTGGGCCCTCTTCGACCGAGAGCAGGTGGCCACCGTCTCCCCCGCCACCGTACACGTTTCGCGTTCAAAATGTACAGACGGTTCCTCTAAAGCGGCGGCTTCTCAACCTGTGGCCAACGGGCGACCACTGGATGACGGCAAGCCCGTGGGGAAGCGGTCCTCTGGACTGTAGCAGACGCTACCATGTAGAATAAGAAGTGTGATATTGAAAAGCATACGAATGGTGCGTGATAGACATTGCAATGGTTGACAGCGACACTCTGTTGGCCCACAGAGGTCGGTAATCAATTCCCTAACATCTTGCCACGGTGGCGAGATGTGAACTACTTCGCCTGGTATATCGGTCGTGGGTTCGATCCCGACCCTGACGCCTGTATATTTGGAGTTTGCCTGTTCTCCCCGTGGTCGTGTGCAATTTTCTCCGGTTTTTCCCTCCACAGTTAGAAACACGCGTTTGGAGTATTGGGCTTCTGTACATTTCCACGTGATAAGCCACTTTGTTGAGCTATCATCTGTGGCCAGGTCGCTTCTGAGAAAGAGCTATATAGCTCAGTGGGCCTTACCTGGTAAAACATAAAAATAGTGCAGTAAAGGAAAAGTTTCCCCCTTCCATGTCAAGACGTATGTTGTGTCACCCTGTGATAAGTCTCAAGTGCTGGCATTTGGAATGTGAGCCTTTACATCGATTTAGAGTGGGCAAATACATGGGCACGGTTGGTGAAAAATAATCCCAACTGACAGTTTGTGTTTTACGTGTGTGTTTTTCTGTTCTCACTGTTTACAGAGCCAGCCACTGTGCAATGTTGCTGCTACGCCTCATGTTGTTTAAGCACATCGTTAAGCTAGAAAAATTGCACCTTTAGCGAGTATCCTTTGAAGTGTGTAACTCTTGGTTTTCTATATACACACACAACACCCCGTTTTGTAAAGGGGGGGGAAGCGCACTCTTAAGAAAAATGAACACGGTGAAAGTAAAGCACTAGTTAATTGCAGTCGAGGGATTTCACCGCGTCTTCGCCTATACGTCACGTCCAAACGCGTAAACACAGGTGTAGGTCTCTACATACGTATAACTTCTTTCTCACCGTACGTAGCCAAACCGTGCTAACTGGAGATGGGCTGCCGTCTTTGCGCGTCTCGTTGCGACGCGGCGTGCGAAAAAACACTACGTAGGAAGCGGGAAGACCTCGCGGTGTCAGAAGAATCTCATTAATCCTGTCCATCTGGACCGGAACTTTCTCCTTTGAAAGCCATCGCGCTCGCGAGGACGCTTCGGGCTCGTCGCCGGTGAAATCGGGGTGTGACTGTCACGCATTTTTATTGGGACAGAGAGAGAGAGAAATAAATGCCGCCGTATTTTCATTACACGGTCTGGCACGTGTGGTGACAGATGTCAGCGAATGTGAGCCGCGGCAGAAACGGGAGGTGTGAATCGCGTAATTAGAAACATTTCCATAATTGCGGTCAATTTCATCCAACTTTTATTTCGAAGCATTCCGCGTGTCACTTTTGCAGCAGCCCGATATTTACGGATGTGTTTGACATTTAACACGGAGTCTGCGCAACGTGTTACAAAAATATATTATCCGCGATGCCGTCTGCGCGTCTTTATACGGTAATTAAATCGAGATTTATTTGCTTGAAAAAACGTTCCTTTTAACAATTATTGATGTATGAATCCATACGCAATCGTTGTACTGCCTTCTGATTGTATTTCCATCATAAATCTATGCGCGGCAATAAAGTAGTTACCAAATAAATGTTGCTGTCAGAATTTAGTCTGAATAAATTGAATTTCTTCCTTTCCAGTAAGAGAATTTAATTTGGTTGGAATCTCTTAATTAAAAAGTGGAAAATTCCCTCTTGGCTCTGCATGGCAGGGCTGCCGATGTGCTGCCTGCGCTCTCTCCGTGTGTTCTTCACCGCTGAGCGGAGTCTGACGAGTCGGCTCAGCGTTTGCAGTGCACGTTTGAACGTTCTCCAGGCTCCGGCCTCCGGCGCCGTGGAGAGGCCAACGGGGGCAGTGTGTCCCCCCCGAGCCTCAGATCCGAGGGGGCCTCGATCTGGCTTTTTGCCCTGGGCCTCCCAACAATCTTTTGGCAGCCCCCATCAGCCTCATCCTCCAGCAGCGGACAGTAAAATCGTGCACAGAATAGCCAGATGAAGCTCGCTAGAAATGTCCACACGAGGAATTGGTGAAACGTGTTAATTTGTGAAACCTTCAAAATGCCAAGCACAACTGGGCTAAAAAGGAGGCCAGGAGGTAGCGGTAGAGCGCATGGTTCATAAACCCAACTGTGGACCCATTGGGTGCTATCCTCTCGTGCCTGGCGTTTTTACATTAACTCTGGTTTCCTCCCACGAACAAAACACTCGCGAAATCGGAATTTGTCGAACGTCCCAATGCATAGCCATCTTGAAAGGCTCTTTTTAATAATTAAATGACATTATTATTATGAACGTGAAGTAAGCAACAAGGACTCACAGTTGAAAAATTAGCAGGCGAACGCCAGTATTCCAGCGTCATGGACTCAATTGAAGGCGGTAGTGTGGGAAATTTGCAGATTTAGTTTTGGCCGAGTCTCCACCCCCCCCCCCCCCACCCTGCAGTGACCCCAAGGCTGCGGCAGTGCCAATTTCCGCAGCGCCCTCCGTGAAACGGTGGAGACGGTGCGCAGGCTTGGGAGCGCGCCGCGGCAAGCCGTCTGCCCAGGGGGGGTTTGTCAGATTTGTTCTGCGTTTGCTCGAGCAGATCAGTTGTTGCAGAGCCAAGCGTGCCCATCTTTAAGTAGTACTTCCCCCCCCCACCACCACCACCCCTGTCAACTCGCCCCACACCGCCCCCTTCCTGGCAAAAACTCAAATGGATTTATTGCGAGCAGCCTGTGCGGTTGGTTGTTCCCTACCCAGCCGGCCGTGTTTGCAGGGCAGAAGCAAATCCTCGGCTCAGATTTGGTGCGCCCAGGCTGACACGCTCACCGGGCCGCTCAGTGAGCGAGCGGCGCACCACTTTGCAAGCCCTCTCTGACGCTCGTGCCCGCGTGGCCAGGGCTAAGGGTGGCGTTCGCCGGCAGAGTCGCCGCGGACTCGCCCGGAGTAAAAAATAACGAGGAAAAAACCTTTTTGAAAGCCTGGACGAGATCGTCGAATGTCGTTGAGCTGGCTGGCAGGCAGAAGGATTTGGAAGAAAAAGAATACGAATAAATAAAGCATCGGCGGGATTCATATTCTTGGTTCACGAAAGCTTTAAATCAAAATTCATCGGCGGGATGTTATGACAAGCGAACGCCGCCGATGCCTCACCCCATTACAGCCGAAGAAGGAGGCAAATGGTAATGCCGAGATGTGTATTCAGTTCCTTTTGAATGTGGTCGCTACGGCAACAACCCCGTTAATTTTAATATCCTCAGCCGGTGCCCTTTCGTGATCAGAAACGGGCTGCCTTTTACTCGCCGTCGATCCGGAGAGACGCTGCGGCGGGAGTCGCGCGGCAGAGGGGCCACCCGGGGCGGCACCAGCGGCGAGTCGCGGCTCCCCGCTGGGGCTGGAGGAACCCCAGCGCCGACGATGCCACCGGCACCAACCCAAATTCTCCCCCACCCCCCCTTAAAAAAAGTAAATATCTAGTCAAATAAACATTGACGCAAGTGCTTGTTTTTGTTTTGCAACCCTTAGCTATTGTACGGAAATTCCACATTCCAATGCAGGGAGCAAGTATTTCCATAGGATAACCACGTATGACTTTCCGACAAAGCGGTGGGTTTCGATTTAAAGCTTTCCTGACTGCAAGGATTCATCTTCTTTGGTTCTTTCGGTAAAGTCCTCCAGACAGTCTCGTCCCTTCACCTGATGAAGGCCGCTTGTGTTGTGGCCGAAACGTCGTGAGAATATTATTGTGTTATTTTATCAATTTATTATTTTATTCTCATTCTACGTGACTTTACCGAAAGAACCAAAGAAGATGAAAGCGGTGGGTATTTTAGCGACCCCAAAATGGATGATGTGCCGAGACAATTCACCGCACAATCAGGATTTGCTTTTTTCGCGAATCCACGTTGTAGGTCTACCGAGCCACCAGTCAGTGGGCATTTGCGTGGAATGTCACGTGGCATGTTGGGTGTGTTGCACAGTGCCACCCCTGCCTCTCACACAGACACGAAACCATCATCGTCAGCGGTGATAAATCCACTGTTGGATGAAGGCCTCCCCCAAATCCATACCTCACAGTTCTGCGATGTAAGTACAGTACTCCAAAAATATAGGGTTTTTTTCTGGGGGGGGGGGTGGGGTTAGATCGCGTAAATGTTCATGTGTCGTTAAACCCGCCACTAGTACAGCACACCGGCGTGTTGGAGAGCATATCCACGAGATCTCCAACACACGGGGTTGCTGTACTAGTAACGAATTGGCACGTTCTGTTTACGTGACAAACCTTACTAATTGGCTGTGTGGGGTGTGGCGGGTTTTACGACACATTTATGTTTACGCGATTTAACCCCCCCCCAAAAAAACCTATATTATGGATGATATTTGTCGCGAAAGCGTACGTGTTAAACTAAGTACAGTACTGTATGCGTGTTGAACTTATTTCACGCCGTACGGAGCAAACCGGGCTAATCGGAGGTGCAGTGGGGGGGGGGGAAAACAACAAACCGACACGCAAAAAAGCAGTTATATTGAAATTAGTTTTAAATTTAGAGAGATTAGTCTTCTTTGAAAAGGCACACGAGA